GTATCAATCGTTTTGCGCGTCAAGATGTAGGCTAAGCTTATCATTTAAACGCGTTTAAAGCAGGTTTTAAAACAAATGGTTTAAACTGTTAATGAACATTAAGCAGTGGGGCAGAATTAATTCTGGTAAATACGTTCATTAAGACGGTTTCAGCCTGATTCACGCGGTGCACACCTGCTCGTATTGCGACTGACTAAACCGTTCGCTCCTTGTGCTTAAACGTTCAAATACACAGTTATGTGTCAAAAATTCTCGTCTTTGCGAGTATCCTCGTAAACACAGTTATTTGTGTCTTAAATTAACTTTAATAGTTAAAGATAAAGCATGTGTAGTGTTAGGCTACATGAGATCCTGGATTATATGATGAGATCTTAAAAGGATAGTTCACCCAAAAATGAAGATACTGTCATCATGTAAACTTAAACTCAAATTGTGCTAAACCTCTATGAATTTCTTTGTTCTCCTCAACATAAAAGAAGATATTTAGAAAAATGATCACAACCAGTTTCTGGTCCCCAATAGTGTATTTTTTCATACTATGGAAGTCATGGGGGCCCAGCAACTGTCTGATTACCAGTATTGTTCCAAATCTATTATTTTGCATTCAACAGCAGAAGGAAACTCATACAGGTTTAGAACAACAACCAAATGTTCATTTTTGGGTGAACTTTTCCTCTAAAGCAGCCTAATATAGCTGCTGTTGCCATTTGTGTCAATAATATAAATCAAACATCAGAAAGAAAATCACTTACTGTCCTTGACAGAATCACTTTTGTAAAATAAATAAGAATGAATCATGTATATTAAATATATACAGTGGAGACCATTCAGTCTATTTGTACATTTTCTTTATACATCATAATATTATTCAGTGCTTTAAGTTTTTCAAGTAGGTCGATTTCTTATGATCTTTGTTCTATTGTAGCTTAATTTGTGACTGTTTACTTGTCTTCAATAAGCTTATTTTTACTTGGGCTCGTATTCTTTTTGTGATATTGAAATTGGTAACAAAAATTATGAAATTTCAGTGCATCAAGAATGTTGATATGGGATAAAAATCCTATTTAAAGCTTTATATATACAGTGGTGTGAAAAATTGTTGGCCCCCTTCCTGATTTCTTATTTTTAATCAGGAAGGGGGCCAACACTTTTTCACACCACTGTGTATATATATATATATATATATATATATATATCATTATTGTGATGGGGGGGCCCTACAGTAAGTCATAGCCCCGGGGCCCAGTGCAGGCTTAATGAAGGCCCTGGGTACATCCCTAGTTTATAGTTTGCACTAGTGCTGTGTTCAAAATATCGATACGACGATGTATCGTCACAGAGATCGATACTGTGGCACGTGTGCAGCAGTGGACCACGCTTAATTTTTACAACGTTTAAAATTTAGTCGAAAAGTGCGAGGTTTCTAAAAAAGAATGAATAGAGTATCTGTTAATAATCTGGCCGCAGAGGAATACAACTGGGTTGCCTGATATAAAGAGACGTAATCCCCAAAACAGGGATTTACACTTGCGCAATACAGAAATATCTGCTAAACGTGCTACTTATCTTTGTCAACCTGGCAACCCTGTGCTCACGCGCTCTCTCTCTCCACTGTGGATAAACGCGCTTGCTTTCTGAAAACACCGCTTAGCTTGCAGTTTAGCTATCTCCATTTCAAGTCTATTCTCAGAAAAGTGTGATTCATCAACTGTTCATTTACGACAGAGAGAGAGAGAGGCTGTGTATGTATGAATTACCACCGTTTTGCCGCGTTTCTCTATTAACAGTAAAACTGTGGCTTTAATTCCCTAGCTCCTAGTTGAGAAAGATAATGTGGCTCTTGAGCGATTAAGCTATTTAGTTGATAAAACTGCGGGGCAGCGCTAAAAAGTTTATGCCTGAATGTCTGAGTTCGGCCGCAACGTGATCTGTGAGTGTGACTGCACTTAACACCAAACTGCTTGTTTAACACAAATGCTGGCACAGACGTGCATGTTCGGCTTGAGTCGCTTTGAACTCGTGCATCTTCGGAAGCGGAGCTGCGCGGAAAGTTACAAAAAATGTTGTGCACACCGCCACGCGAAACGACGCCGCGCGCACTCAAAGCGAACTTGCTGACGCTCGAGTATAAATCAGCCTTGAGCGTGTGAGCGTTAGATACAGTGAAGACAGCGCGTTAGTTTAGAACTCTTCTAAAAAAAATTTTTATTGTAGAGAGAGTGTTAATTTGTGCAATGATAACCTACCAGCAATGTAAATTATTTTTTAAACATATTAGAATGAGTACATTACAATATAAATTTATTAGAACAAGTACATTATTATTTATGGGCTTAAAAACAAGATGCAAACAATCAGAATATTGTACCTGGTGGGGAGTGCACAATGTAAACATGAAACATATGCCATTACCTATATTGTACTGTGGTACAGTTATGGAGGCCCTTCATAATGCAGAGGTCAACTGCCTGCTCTGCCAATAGTTAGAAATGGCACTATAGTGTGCAGTGTTTAATAAACAGCTGTTTTTCTAAATTCTGCTGAGGTGAAATTCAGTGCAGTCCTGTATCGTGATACATATCGCATCGTGACCTCTGTATCGTGATACGTATCGTATCTTGACTTTGCTGGTGATACACAGCCCTAGTTTGCAGATCAGACTGCCTGTATCGCCAGACTAATATATAGGAGGCCAGAGCAGCTGTCATTCATATTGCATTATACTGCACTGACTGGACTCTCTATCTTTGACCTGCAGTGGCCTTGCAGTTGCCCGAGGGTCTGCAGATGTTTGCCTGTGTGATCGCTGACATCATTGAGAGGTGGGTACCGCATACACTCACGCAGCGCTCCTCTGGACTGTGGATGCACATCCTTGGTTAAACAGGAAGAGCATTTGAGTCTGCAGAAGACCTCTGTGCTCATTAAAAAACTCTATGCTTATCATCATTCCCCGCCGTAGCAGTATCTGGGGCTCAGCAGAAAATTAGACACAATTGCAGACACAAGCTAGCTATCACGGTCTCGCTAGTTAATGACATGAAGTGGACAAAACCATTATTCTTCTCAATTACATCTTGTTACAGTCTGCGCAGAGCATGCAGCATACGAAAGTACAAATTGTGGTCCAGTGTGGGTAAAGAACGAGTCTGGCCACACCTCCCACTTCGACTGGGTTTAATGCTAATGCTAATGAACACTAGTAGCTCTGCTTAATGATAAACAATGTGCTGTGACAACAAAAAATTTTTTTTTGTGTTCACAGGTTAAAGAAAAATATATCTTCAAAAATGAAAATTCTGTCATTATATAAACCTGTATGACTTTTTTTCTGTTGAGTATATGTGTCCTTCTTTTCCATACAGTTACATTTAATAGAGTCTGAATAATTTGGACTGAGTCAGTGACTGTCACATATTGATTCATAAACAATTTTTTTTTTGGTTTTGTTAACCATATAATTTGTTTTCTTGAAAATATTTTACTCAAACAAATGTTTTGTTCATAAATTGGACATTTCTACATCTCTTAAGCAAAGTCGAGATTGATGTGAAGATTTTAAGTGAACATTGACATAGATTTGGTCTGTTTGTCACACAAAGCTACTTTAGAAGACGTAGAACATGAGTTGTAGTGGCCACTTTCATGATACTTGTGGTCCTTTTTCATCCTTATTAAAGCCTGAAAAGAGTTTACATTCGTTGTAATTGCATGGAACCGAGTAAACAGACTTTTCTGTGCTAGAGAAAGAATGTCCGCATGAGGATGCGTAAATAATGACAGAAATTTGTGTTTTGGCTCAGCTGTTCCATTAAGAGCCTTGCCTCCTTTTATACTAAACATTACATTTCTCTTCCACCATCTCCTGGGATGAATGTTCCACCTGTTTCTTTAAAGTATGTTCCCACTTTCCTCCAAATAAGCAGAGTCCTATTCCGGATGTCTGCTCAATACTAATGAGGGACATTCTCAGCTGAGGTGAGATGGGCGAGCATTTCCATTGAGGGATATGTTTAGCCTCGGGAACCACACTCAAAGTGTCACATTCCCAGAGGATTCATCTGTATTACAAAAACATTATGGGACTGTAATGTTCCTTCTGACTCAGGGCCGCCGGTTCGATTTGGAGGTGAGCATAGAGTTAGTGAGTTGAAGCGAACGGCTTTGGATGTTTTGATTGGGTCGTGTGAAAATCTCGCTGTTTGATGACTCTCCTGGTTAACACAGATCCCTCTGTTTGATGTAGATCTGCTGTCAGCGCTTCTGCAATTACATCCTGTGTTCATCAACTTCCTGTTTCTCTAACCCATCTACTTTTTACTCTTGTTCTAGTGACATGTCCAGTGTTGATCTCAATGAAAATAATCATTAACAAGGTTGTTCAGGGTTTCTGTCGAAGATAATGAAGAGCAGATTAATTTTTAAATTAAAACATACTGTTAACAAAGAAAAAAAAACAAGACAAGGAAAAAAATAATACCGCAAGAATTTCTTTTAAATGTTGATGCACTACCAAAGTTTGGGGTTAGTACTAGTATTTTTTTATGTTTTTGATGTCTCTTATGCTCATGAAGGCTGCATTTATTTGATCAAAATTACATTAAAAACAGGAATATTCTGAAAGATTATTACAATTTGAAATAACTGTTTTCTATTTTAATACTTATTAAAATGTAATTTATTCCTGTGATGGCAAAGCTTAATTTTCAGCAGCCATTACTCAGTCTTCAGTGTCACATGATCCTAGAAATCATTCTAATATGCTGCTCAAGAAACATTTATTATTAATGCTGAAAGCAGTTGTGCTACTAAATGTTTTGTATTTTATTTATATTTTGTAACATTATAAATGTATTTACTGTCTTTTTTGGTTAATGTAAAGTGTCCCTGCAAAATAAAAATTTCTTGAAAAAAAAGGAAAACGAGTCTTACGGACCCCAAACTATTGAATGCTAATGTACATTTAAAATTAATTTATGAATATGCATATGTTTGAAGTATTAGATACCATTTTGTTGGCTGTTTTTCTAAATTCTGCTGAGGTGAAATTCAGTGCAGTCCTGTATCGTGATACATATCGCATCGTGACCTCTGTATCGTGATACGTATCGTATCTTGACTTTGCTGGTGATACACAGCCCTAGTTTGCAGATCAGACTGCCTGTATCGCCAGACTAATATATAGGAGGCCAGAGCAGCTGTCATTCATATTGCATTATACTGCACTGACTGGACTCTCTATCTTTGACCTGCAGTGGCCTTGCAGTTGCCCGAGGGTCTGCAGATGTTTGCCTGTGTGATCGCTGACATCATTGAGAGGTGGGTACCGCATACACTCACGCAGCGCTCCTCTGGACTGTGGATGCACATCCTTGGTTAAACAGGAAGAGCATTTGAGTCTGCAGAAGACCTCTGTGCTCATTAAAAAACTCTATGCTTATCATCATTCCCCGCCGTAGCAGTATCTGGGGCTCAGCAGAAAATTAGACACAATTGCAGACACAAGCTAGCTATCACGGTCTCGCTAGTTAATGACATGAAGTGGACAAAACCATTATTCTTCTCAATTACATCTTGTTACAGTCTGCGCAGAGCATGCAGCATACGAAAGTACAAATTGTGGTCCAGTGTGGGTAAAGAACGAGTCTGGCCACACCTCCCACTTCGACTGGGTTTAATGCTAATGCTAATGAACACTAGTAGCTCTGCTTAATGATAAACAATGTGCTGTGACAACAAAAAAAAAATTTTTGTGTTCACAGGTTAAAGAAAAATATATCTTCAAAAATGAAATGTATGACTTTTTTTCTGTTGAGTATATGTGTCCTTCTTTTCCATACAGTTACATTTAATAGAGTCTGAATCATTTGGACTGAGTCAGTGACTGTCACATATTGATTCATAAACAATTTTTTTTTTGGTTTTGTTAACCATATAATTTGTTTTCTTGAAAATATTTTACTCAAACAAATGTTTTGTTCATAAATTGGACATTTCTACATCTCTTAAGCAAAGTCGAGATTGATGTGAAGATTTTAAGTGAACATTGACATAGATTTGGTCTGTTTGTCACACAAAGCTACTTTAGAAGACGTAGAACATGAGTTGTAGTGGCCACTTTCATGATACTTGTGGTCCTTTTTCATCCTTATTAAAGCCTGAAAAGAGTTTACATTCGTTGTAATTGCATGGAACCGAGTAAACAGACTTTTCTGTGCTAGAGAAAGAATGTCCGCATGAGGATGCGTAAATAATGACAGAAATTTGTGTTTTGGCTCAGCTGTTCCATTAAGAGCCTTGCCTCCTTTTATACTAAACATTACATTTCTCTTCCACCATCTCCTGGGATGAATGTTCCACCTGTTTCTTTAAAGTATGTTCCCACTTTCCTCCAAATAAGCAGAGTCCTATTCCGGATGTCTGCTCAATACTAATGAGGGACATTCTCAGCTGAGGTGAGATGGGCGAGCATTTCCATTGAGGGATATGTTTAGCCTCGGGAACCACACTCAAAGTGTCACATTCCCAGAGGATTCATCTGTATTACAAAAACATTATGGGACTGTAATGTTCCTTCTGACTCAGGGCCGCCGGTTCGATTTGGAGGTGAGCATAGAGTTAGTGAGTTGAAGCGAACGGCTTTGGATGTTTTGATTGGGTCGTGTGAAAATCTCGCTGTTTGATGACTCTCCTGGTTAACACAGATCCCTCTGTTTGATGTAGATCTGCTGTCAGCGCTTCTGCAATTACATCCTGTGTTCATCAACTTCCTGTTTCTCTAACCCATCTACTTTTTACTCTTGTTCTAGTGACATGTCCAGTGTTGATCTCAATGAAAATAATCATTAACAAGGTTGTTCAGGGTTTCTGTCGAAGATAATGAAGAGCAGATTAATTTTTAAATTAAAACATACTGTTAACAAAGAAAAAAAAACAAGACAAGGAAAAAAATAATACCGCAAGAATTTCTTTTAAATGTTGATGCACTACCAAAGTTTGGGGTTAGTACTAGTATTTTTTTATGTTTTTGATGTCTCTTATGCTCATGAAGGCTGCATTTATTTGATCAAAATTACATTAAAAACAGGAATATTCTGAAAGATTATTACAATTTGAAATAACTGTTTTCTATTTTAATACTTATTAAAATGTAATTTATTCCTGTGATGGCAAAGCTTAATTTTCAGCAGCCATTACTCAGTCTTCAGTGTCACATGATCCTAGAAATCATTCTAATATGCTGCTCAAGAAACATTTATTATTAATGCTGAAAGCAGTTGTGCTACTAAATGTTTTGTATTTTATTTATATTTTGTAACATTATAAATGTATTTACTGTCTTTTTTGGTTAATGTAAAGTGTCCCTGCAAAATAAAAATTTCTTGAAAAAAAAGGAAAACGAGTCTTACGGACCCCAAACTATTGAATGCTAATGTACATTTAAAATTAATTTATGAATATGCATATGTTTGAAGTATTAGATACCATTTTGTTGTATGAAATGTAAAGTAAAATCGACTAAAATGAATAAATAGGACATGATAACAAATTGACTACATTTAAAAGACATTTTCATAAAAAAAAAAACCTGACAAAAAAAATTAACACTGGCCATATCTCTGTTTTGCTGTTCATCTTTCCACCTTTTCTATTTTGTATATTCTTCTACCTATTGTATTTACATGGTACTCCAACATATGCCAATCATTACCATGGTATTACCATCAATATGTTTTCCAATAAACCATAGCACAATATCATGGTGCAAGGGTTTTGACCCCTCTCTTGCGTTCTCTGTCCACTTAAGTGTGTGAGAAGTGCTTTGAGTGTGTGTCTGTCGTGTAATGTGTACCCTACCCTCCTTATCAGACAGCCATAGTGCTCTCAGCTAAAGAGCTGCCTCTTTCTCATCGTAGCAGGGCTTAGCATCACAAATGTCCAGACACTCGGAAACCCAATGAAACCAGTCAGTGTTTAATGAGAGCAATTAATGTCCGTTAATTAACTTTGCGAAAGCCCCCTTCTCCTCCTGACATCAGCAACAGCTTTCCATCCCTCTTCTGCATGTTCTGCCCCTCGTTCCCTCAGCCACATCTTTGGATTGCTGCCAGCAGGATTTCTTCGATCTGCAGTTTCTCTAAGGGCCTTTAGCTTGGCTTACATAGGACATTTATTCCTCGTTGCTTTTTAGGGCTCCAGCTGTTTATATATATATATATGGGTCAAAGATGAAAAAGGGTTTAAGCATAAAAAAAATAAGTGTACTGCTTTAAATTGTTGTTGTTTCTCCAAAAAATATAAAAAAGTTTTCGGTTTAGTTTAATTTTGTTTTTGTTTTTCCGAGCAAAAAATAAATATCATACATTTTTCCCTGATTTACAGAAGAGACCCACTAAAATGTAATTCAGTGTAACAATGTTGTCAGGCATATTTAAAACAAAAACCAATTTATGACATATTAAAAGACTAATTACTTTCACCCCAAATAGTAATTAGTTGTAATTTTAAATTTTTTTTAATTTGCCACTATCCTAGGTTTTGCCCATTTGTCAGTAAGAATTTTACTAATTTAAAACACAATAAAATTTTATATGCTCCCTTATTCTTTTATATATTTTAATATGTACAAGTCAGAATAAGCATGTTGTTTGAATTTTTACATAAATATTGTGTTACACTGAATGACAATGTAACTAATGTAATTAGTTACATTGTAATTTAATTCTCCAAAAACCTATTTGAAACCTTAAAAGTAGACACTTTACTTACATTTAATGTGCTTTCTATGGACATAAAATCACTTTTGTACATTTCTTTTGATGCGGACATCTTAATGTCTTTGACCCATGTATGTATTTATATTATATTACTTTAGGACTGTTTCTAACTACCTCCGAATGTTTCAAGTGATCTGATCGCAAACATTTTCGACACCATTTAAATTTGTACTTAGTGATGCTCTGGATCATATTGGCCTAAACGAATGTTAATACCAGGTAAACAGTGCCAGATGTTTTATGTGTATGTTGTGACCCCAGATTATAGTTTGTTCAGGGTCTTGCGGGTCTGACCCAGGGCCACGGGAAAGGATTAGTTGTTACATGACACTGCTGACAGCTATAGGCACAACTCCCAAATTTGAGATAAAACATCAGACAGAGACTAGAATGGAACTAGAATGGTTCAGAAATAATGTTGTGTACTGGAATCTTCATGGGACTGAGAAGAACACTGGAGATTGGAGACTGCACAGGATGTGACTGTTGTGATCAATGATAGACTGAGCTCCATGTCAGCGTGCAGAAAAGAGGTTGTATAAATCTAGCCAGAATATAAGATGATTAAACTAGATGAGGTTTTAAGCTCTAATGAGAGCAAGCTGCTATGTATTACAGCAAAAGCTGCAGTTGATTTACACACACACTCACAGTCAGCCCTACTATATATCCACATCTGACACGCACTAAATTTTGTAGGTATTCTCACACAGTGTACTTGCATTTTCTCGAATGCTGCTAAAAACACCTACACAGGTTAAAGGTGTGTATACCTTCTTAGAGGTGGATTCCCACACACTTCATGCTATAATTGATCACATATGTCTCTTGTACACTCGCAGCTACAAACTTCTTGTGAAATGGAAATATGGATGGCGTGTTTATGCTAGGACTGAAGGTGTACTTATGCTAGGATACAGGGCCAGTCACATATATTTAGGGGAAATTTTGTGGGCAAAAAAACTGTTTTCCATTGTCAGTAATGTAATGATGTATGAAGTACTGCTCACATAATAGTATTTGATTTGAATTTACTGTGATATTACTTTTTCTGTGAACTGAAAACAATTCACGTAGCTATATGAGCAGTGCTGGGTAGTAACTGGTTACATGTAATCTGGATTACGTAATCAGATTCCAAAAATGAAGTACTTGTAATTAGGGTATATTACATTTTAAAATGCTCATTATTAGATTAAAGTTACTTTTTATAGATTACATGGTTACATATTATTCACGCAATGGCAGTAAATTATTGAAGTAAGTGAGGATAGCAAAATAAAGTGAACTGTGACATATTATACCCAAAAAATTCTTCATTTACTGGTAGTGGACTACCGGGATCAAAAAATATTCAGACACTTTGACTTGAGTCTTGACCATGTTTTGCTTAAAGGTGACATATCATGAAAATCTGACTTTTCCAGGTTTTAAGTGCTATAATCAGGTCCCTGGTGCATCTACCAACCAAGGAAATGTGATTAAATGTGATGAAGATTAACCCAGTAACTTTATTTTGCTAAGCCTTTTTCTGCAAGCATC